CGCGAAACGCCCACAACCATCTGACTCGAAGCAACTCAAGTAATTCTGCTTTCTGCTTCTTTGCCACTGGAATTCGCAAGCCTTCGCAGCTGCTCAGCAACTCGCGTGTGTGTGTGTGTGTGTGCGTGACCTAGTAGTGTCCCCAGCTATGGGCGTGTCCACGTTGGAGCCAGGTGTGGTGTGGGCGCGAGAATAGCTCCGCCGTTCATGGAGGCAACCGATGCGAGTCGACTGGTGTGTGTCGTCGTGGTTTCGTATCAAGAATACTCACTCACACACAACTCGCGCTTGGATAGGTCTTTTCCCCATCGTTCTGCTCGAAAATGAAAGGAAGGCTCCTCTTGATTCTTGTAAACGAATCGAAGAAACACGTCAATGATCTTGTAAAACCACGCTACCAGCGCTTGGTCACATCGGCCCCGAGGTCAGATCCATCGACTCTGTTGATGACAAGACTTGTCTACCGGCTGGAGCCGAGCAGGAGGGCCCGCCGCACAACCCCTTGGTCAACTCACCCTCCACACCCCGTTAGGTAAACTTCTCCAGACTCCACACACACGAGGTGGTGGGGCAAGGGGGGGCAACCCTCGCGTCTCCACGTCTGACGACAGGAGCCCCACGGCATTCAAAGTGCAAGGCCCAGTGCGCGTGGGTGAGCGGTGTGTGTGTGTGTGTGTGTGTGTGTGTGTGTGTGTGTGTGTGTGTGTGTGTGTGTGTGTGTGTGTGTGTGTGTGTGTGTGTGTGTGTGTGTCTCACGTCACTGCATCCTCTCTCTGCCGGTTCCTCCCGTCGCCTCTTCCCGGGTGCACCCGGACCCACCCGGAGGGGCCCGGGAAGGGTCTAGCGGCCCTCCAGCGGCCCCCAACGCCCCCCCGCGGCCCTGTTTTGGTAGTGTATCACACATATGTTGTGTCACTATCATACCCACGACCCAGGGTACCCGAGCGCTCCCGAGCAGCTATAAGGTCGAGCCGCTGGAATGCCTCCTCCAGTGGCACCCAGTCGCGCTCGAGGTACGGGAGGAGCATATCATACAGTTTCACTGCCCGAGCCTGCAGCTTGGCACACTCGTGGCACTTGTCCTCGTGGGCGAGCTGAATCCCGTAAACGTTCCGCATATCATCGAATTGCGCCTCGTTCAGGCCGGCGTCGATCATCCGACGGGTCACCCGACGTTCGAAGACGCTTTCCCGATCGCTGTCCGAAGACGCGTCGTCGGGACGGGAGTCGCTGGCCGGCAGGTCCTCGACCGCCGGCTCCTCCTCGACCGCGGGCTCCTCTGGCGTGGGCACGTCCTGCAACGTTTCTGGAACGACAGCGAGAAGCGCCTCCGCGCCCGCCTGCCGCCGCTTGCACTTGCCCAACTCCTTGTCCACGCCGCTCGCGTGCGTCTCGAGCCGCTTGCCGTACACGACCGCCTGCTCGAGTCGCGCGCCCGCCAGCTCGCCGCGTAGGTCCCACACAAGGTACGCCAGCGCAGCCTTCTTCAGGTTCTTTATCTGGAGAGCCATCAGCGCGCCGCGCCGCTGCGACGAAAAGAGCGTGTTTACGGCAGCTTTCGCGGCGATGATGATGCCGTTGGTGACCTCGCCGACGATGCTGACCTCGTTGGAGGGTGCGGGGACGGGTTGGTTGCCGAGGAGCATGGTCTCGAGGCGATTTAAGAGCGCGGTGGGCTCCAAGGCGAGCTGCGCCGAACTGGAGCGAGTCGGCCGCGCCCGAATTGCTGGCGCCGCATCGGCGCCGGTCGAGTCCGACACGACAGCGGTCTTCTCCACCGGCTCGAGGTTCGCCATCCGCGGCGCTGCACCGCGGATTCGAACGGCTGCTCGCTCCTGCTCGGCGGCTGGCCTGTCAGCACGGCGCTTCGAGAGGGCGGTCGCCGTCGGTGCACGTTGACTATCATGGCGAGCGAGCAGCCCCGCAGTGAGTGGATGCAGCCCACCGGAGGTACTGTCTGAGGTGGGGCCCGGCGCGTGAGGCTCGTCGGCGTCCGCCATCACCGCCTGCGGCCACTGCAGAGTCGGCCAAACGAGGCTTGATTTTGGCCATTTTGGCACGGACCCTTGCGGACTCTTCACAGCTGGGTCCCGGTGCACCCGGTCTTTGTTCGAATGTTTTTCAATCCATCCTTCACGAAGCCCTCCCATGTAGCTAGCGTTCTTGGCGAATGTCTCGAAATGGCCAGCAGGCGCTGTCTGCTCGTGATCTGTGCGGGCCGCTCGTCCTCTTTGTCGCCGTCTACCTCATCTATGATGTAACTTATTCGGACCCCCCCCTGGGCGCCTCGTGTTTTTCGTGCCAAACCAGCGCGATCTCGGCGGGGCGTCAGCGCCTCTCGGAGGGGCATCATGCGCTCCCGGGGCCGCCCGACGGCGCGGGCCTCTTGCTGATGGACCCAGCCGAGGTGCCCAACCAGTCGGAGTGGCGCTGACGCGCTGCGGCGACCACCAGCCAGCTTTTCAGCGAGGCCGAGCACGGTGTGTCGAGAAAGTAGACAGTCCAAGTAGCAGCCGCTTTTTTTGCCTCTTTTTGAGCGCTGCTGCTGCACACCCAGCCCACCAGTGATACTAGACGCACCAGATTTACCCCGTCGCGAGCTTGACCGCGACCCCTGTGACCGCCCACAGGTGGCTGATCGAAGCGCCACTCATCGCTGCTTTCGCGCGCCTGCTCCACAGAGGGCCCCTGCGGCTCTCGCTCGTCGCGCGACCGCCGCCGACATCATGTGCTCGGTCGTCCCCGCCGGCGCGGAGCTGCGCCACGTCGAATTCTTCGGTGGCTCGACCGCCGGCGCGCCCACCCTCGCCTCCTGCGCGCCTCACACCCAGTATTCTCCTCGCGCGCGGCCGACAAAGTGAGCGCACGACCACCTCCCTCTCAGTCACCCCCCCACGATGCACAGCCCGCTCGTTCTCGCCGAGGAGACGCTCGGAGCGCCCAACTTTGCCTCGTGCGGCCATCAAACAGGCGCGTTGCCTCCCATCTCCGCACTTCCCATCTACCCCCACACTGCCACTGCCGGGGACGCGCAGATGCGACTCCCGGGCCCACTCACCTCACCCGAGCCCGGCCGACCAGGCACAGCCCGACGAGAACCCGCCGGGAAGGAGCTGGCCGAGCCATCGCCGGCCTCCCTGCCGGCTCACGGCCGCTCAAAAGGTCGCTCACCCGCCCGTCGCTTGCCGCCCCTCTCCCAGCCTTTGCCGGCGCTTTTGCACGAACCTAGGGCTCAGTTCCGTCTTCCTCCCCCTCGCTCCTGTAGGCAGGCCGCCCCGCGCAGGCGGGAAGAGGCGCGCCGAGCCATCGGTGACGTCCTGGCGAGCTCATGTCCCCCAAAAAGGTCGCACCCGCCCGTGGCTCCGCCGTCGGCTCCGCCGCGAGCGGCGACGGTGAGGCCGCCGGGGCTCGCCTATACCGGCTAGTGTGGAGCTCTCAGTGTGGTTGCGTGTTGTACTAGTGATGCTGCACTAGGCGGCCCGTTTTTAGCAAAAACCAGATACCACATCGCGCGTGGTCATCGAAAAACCGCATGTTCGCCCGTCTGGGACCTCTTCGTACGGCTCCAAAAACCGCTCCTTAACGACGACTACGCGGCCCGGCGGTCGATCTGCGCCTTCTGAGCGGTGGAGGGGATGTGGGCGGTACGTGCGGACTGCGTGGTCATGCGACGGTTTGACGAGTGCGACTCCCAGCGTCGACTCTGCGACCCCACGGAGCCTCTGCTGCTCCGGGGGGGGGGTGTCTGCAGACCACCCGGCCGAACTTCAGAGTGGCGGTGGTCCTCAAATACCGCTCAAACGCCCACGATGTTGTGGAGGGGACATATGCTGATGATCCTGGCCCGATTGGTTCGCTCAGAAAGCTTCTGGGCGGTCGCTAAGGTTCGCTCCCCGCACACCGGCCCCGGAATAAGTTACATCATACATCACCTACCGTGGGTGGCCCGAGGTGCGAATCGGCATTCTCAGCCTTGTGCTGACGTCCTCATGCTCGTGCTGCAGACGCCCGCCGGCGACCTGCTGGACAAGACGAGATTCAAGCGCAGCATCACGGCGGTCGCGACTTTTGTCGCCGCGGTGACGACGGTCTCTGTCTCGTTGCGCACCTGATCCTCCCCGTGCGGTGCACGACCGTCGCGCTGCTCGCCATGTACAAGCCGAACCAGTATCTCCTCGCTGCCACCCAAGTCTTCGAAGGGTTGGGCGCAGGCATCTACGACACCCTTCTGCCACTCGTTGTGAAGCGACTGGTGCAAGGCACTGGCCGCTTTGGGTTCACCTTTGGCTTCATCATCTCGTGCTGGCGACTCGGTCATGGGTTATCCTTGCTCCTCGGCGAGAGCATCTCTCAAGCGAGCTCGTACGAGATCGCCTTCTTCACCCTTGGAGGCCTCGGGCTTCTGGTCACGGCTCTGCTGGCCTTGTGTGTCCACGTGCCGCCTGCCAAGGCGGTTGAGGACCAGCGGGAGATCACGCAGGAGGTAGCAGCCGAGGCGCAGAGTGAGACGGCCGTGGGAGATGAAGTCCCACGTTTTGGTCAACTCGAAGCGGAGCCGGATGCCCAGCCACTCGCGTGCGGGGAGAACCCAAGCCGTGAACAGCTGGAACCTCCACCACGACGCGAAGCCGACGTGCTTGGGAACCCACAGCCGGGGGGGGAGACCCCCGGACCCCGCCACGCTGAACGATGAGCTCCCCTCCGGCGAGCGAGCGCGGCCGGCGACACGCCAACCCGCCGTCGCGGCTCGGCGTCGACGACAGCTGGGGCAAGGGTCGGGCCAGCAGCTGGGCCACCAGTACCTCGTCCTCGCCGTCCGGTGCGGCCCCACCGAGTGGTGGCGCGCCGGGGCCTGTGACACCAGACGCGTCCAAGACGTCGCACGCCCGCGGCGGGCGTACCACGGAGAGCGGCCTCAAGCGCAAGGCTGACGCGTCGCTCACCGCCTCGCCCGCGCCGCCTCCCCCAGCGTGGAAGCCCGAGCTGGCCGGCGGGGCGGACTCGCCGTCGGCGGCTCCCGTTGCCGCGCCCGAGCAGCCACGCGCCGAGGGTGCGCAAGAGGGTGTGCCGGCCGCGGCGGCGGACGCCGCCGAGGCGGCGCCCGGGGCGGACGCCACGCCTCCGCCTCCCCCCTGCGAGGCTTGCAACGACGCGGCGGGGGCAGAGGCGGCCCCACCCGACGCCACCCGCGACACGGCCATCGCCGACTCCGCCGCCCCCGCCGGTGAAGCGACCGCCGTCGCCACGGCCGCGCCCGCCGTCTTCCGGCCCTGCGTCCTGGCGCCCGGCTGCATCAAGCCGTCGCTCCACTCTGGGCACCCCCCCCCCCTCCCCCGCACACACACACACACACACTCACGCACCACCACCACCACCTCCTCCCCTCTCCCTCCCCCCTCCCCCTTCCATGCCGCCCCGGCCCCCGCCCTCGCCACCTCCACCGAGTCCGCCGCCTCCCTCGCCGTCGCACCCTCACCACGTCCCAGTCCGCCGCCGCCGCCTCCACCCTCGC